ATTTATTATCTCATAACGAGGAATGTTTTGAACTTTATAAAAATAAGAAATTAAATAAAAGAGTGTCTACTCTAGAGCATTAGAGTTCAGTCGACTTTAGCTTTTATAGTGAAAATAGTAAGAATTGGATGAAAGGTCTTTCATACTAAACCAATTAAGAAAAGATTAGATTTTAATTTAAGCCCTAAAAAAACAGATTTTATAAATAATTATTTAATTTTTCTTAAATTTAATTAATTTACCTATAAAACTATCATCATGCCCAAATTATGTGTTTTAGACTAAAATAACCTTTTAAAATAAAATTCCGTCACCCTCGGTTTAATATAATATAGCAGAAGGCAGAGGCAAAATTGTGAAATATTCATTGAACTTATAATGACTTGTTCTCTTTCAAACAAGGCCAAAACAAGTATTAAATTGGCCATTTTGTCATGACTTGAACATCATTAATTACAACCACAAACACAATTCGTGATCTAAGCATGGCATATGGTTGGTGCATTTAATAAAACCTCTAAATTTTTTATTTTTTATTTTTATTTTTGGGTAACTAAAGTATCTGGGTCTAGTTTATGTGTATCTTAACTAATTTTCGAAATCCATTAAACAAATTACGAGTTTAAAGAATCATGTAAGCCACAATATTATTGTGGTAGGTAACTCTAAAGTTTGAATTCAAAAATTTAAGGAATTGAGCAAACCTCCTTAACTGCTAGGTTAGTCCCTACAAAATTGTCACTTATCACATCTGTAATTTATTTGACCCATTAGACTTAGAGGGTGTTTGTCTAAACTTATAAACTGGTCAAACTTGCTTATAAGCTCTAAAATTAAGCTGACCTGTTTGTTTATAATTTTTTTGAACTTATAAGTTGAGCTTATAAGCCAAAAAAAATAAGTTGGGGGGAGGTACTTTTTTTTTTTTTTGGCTTATAAGCAGAGTGTTTATAAGCTAATTTGATCAAGTATATTACCACATTATCCTTGTTTAATTTTAAAATTTCATAGTATACCATTGTTTAATGTAGTACATTTTTTAGTCATTTTATAATAAAATATACTTATAAGCCACATTTTACCAAACACGTCAACTACTTATCAGTCACTTATAAGTACTTTAACCAAACACGTAATTGTTTAAAATTTCAAATTCTTATAAGCTAAAATTAGGTTATAAGTACTTGTTGCTTATAAGCTAATTTTCATAAGCTCAGACAAACACCCCCTTATAGGGTGCTCAATAAACCTTGAAAAAAATAATAGATTATCGCATATTACTCATATTATTGAAAGGAGTTTATGAATGACTAAATAATAATTTTTCTTAGAATTGCAAAAAAAACTCAAAATTTTAATACTCTTTTAGTCTTTTTCCATTTTTCTAAAGTTTTAAAAATTATAATATATACTATTAAGCATTTGGTTGCTATTCTCGTGGTGGAAGCAATGCAGAAAATGAATCCCGAACGTGGTGTAGTGCCCTCGCGGTCAACTCATAATAACCATTCTTAACATTTCTTTTTTAGTAATTTAATATTAGAAAATTCTGTTACATTTATCTAACCAAATACAAGTGCGATTTTTTTTCTTCTAAAAACTATTTTTCATCAATATTTACTATAATAAATAGGTTTATATCGTATATTCCTACGGTACTGATTTACATTGAAGTAACAACATAACAACATTGTCAAAAAAAATATCAAATACCTCATCATAAAGAAAGTTTTGTATTTTTACATTATTTTTTTAACCATTTTAAATACGTATGTTAATTATTAAACAATCTTATATCAGAAATAAGTGGATTTTATTTTCTTTACTTAAAAATCGAAATAAAAAACAAATAAATTGATACAAAATGACAAAAACAAAGAATTCTAACCCCAATGGATTGGTCTAGTTGTTAAATAAGTTTGTTTACTTTTTTGAGTTTTTTAATTCAAATCTTGGGACCATCTACTACAATATTATTGTGATTTACTTAATCTTTTAGAATTGTAAGATATTTAATGGACTTTGATTAATTAACTAAAATACGTGTAAGCTGGCCTGAACAAGGTGTTTAATGAACTTTAAAAATTAATTAAGATAAGTACAAATTGACCCGAATAACCGGTGGTAAAAAAAAAAAAAAATAAAATTAGAGACGAGTATAAAGTTGAAAGATTAGAATAAAATAGGAAAATATTAGAATATTATCACTGAGGTTGAACCTTTAGGGTAATATGATTATTGAAATTTGATAATGAGTTAGGCAATCACACCTTTAATTAAGGTGGTGGAGTGGTGGGGATAATCATTAGAACCCAAACTACCAAGGAATCGACATATTCAAATACAAATTCCAATTCCAAACCTAATTTTACTTGAATTTGCCTTCTATTTCTATTTTATACAAATTGTGACACATTTACTGTTGTCATGTCTAATTCTAAACTAGAATTTGACACGTTTGTATGGTCCCCCTTGTCAAATTCATCTTAATTTTAAGGATAAAAGTCACGTGCTGTTTCATCATATCTTTATCCGCAAGAGATGGAAGGAAATTTCAAACAAATAATTATTATGAAAAAATATTGTTATAATAAAATAATCAATTATTATATTAGTAACAACAAATAATAAATCTTTTTAATATAAAATAATAAAATTAACTATTAATAAAATAAAAAGATAATACAATAAAATTAACAATACCAACAATTTGATCACGTGTAAAAAATCTTTCAGAATGATAGGATGAGATCTAAAGAATACAACCTTAGAAAGAATGCGAGGCCTGTGTAACACAATTTCCTTAAAACATATTCGCCTTCTTCACTCGGGTGCACAAGGATTTGAGCAGCGTCTATTTCCCAAGATACAACGACAGATGAATAGCAAGAGAAGCACCACTATTCTATTCTAACAAACTGAATAAAGTCTTAACTTCAACAAAAGAAGACCTTAAAAACTAGAAAGAAAATAAGAGATTGAAATAACTCTCAAATTTTTTTTCAGGTGTGTTTGAAAAAAGAGGAAAAACACTTTTTTATACTACTCAAAGTGAAATAAAACATTAAATTCCACGTTATTTTTCACCTTTTCACTTTCCAATTCTTAAAACTTCCTCCATTGATCCACTAACATTTCACCTTCTAAATTCTCAACTTACACCACCACTTTCATTCCATTTATTTCATTCAATTTAATAAAATATTCCAATAATAATTAAATGATAAATAAATATATTCATTTTTATATTTTATATTCAAACAAAATTACCACCATTCTGGCGTCATTCTATCGTTAGACTTTAGGATTAATAAATATTTATCAAATTACATCTTTGTCATTTATTTTAATACCAAAAACTTAATGAGAGAATGACCCTTTTCAGTAGTGAATTTCCGTCTTCTTTAGTTTCAAATTTCTTACGAATTTTCAATCATCTTCTATGAATAATTTCTGGTACATAAGCAAACTATACTTTTATTATTTTCCATGCCACATGGTCAAAAATGGCAATCTTAGAAAACTGATCTTATCATGTGAACAAATCAACAAAAACCTTATCATATTTTGACATGACTGCCAACTGCAATATTGTATAAATGAAACAAAATGTAGTAATAAACATACACCAAGTAATAAACAACTTAATAAAATTTACACAAATTTTACAAGCATTTACTATCAAGAATAATTTCAGACTTTCTGTCCGCATTCCACACACATCTCCAGCCAAAACCAGACCACCAAAGTCCCCAAAACTAATAGGAAAAAAAAAATTAATATAAATGAAATTCCCCCAACTTTTTAAATTAAATTTCAACCCAAAAAAATAAAAATAAAAATAACCCTCTATTATAGAAACAAGATAACCCTTTCTTATTGTGCAATGCAATGGCCTTCTAGTTGATAAGATATTGAAACTCCAGAAAGGCATTTGAGTAATCATTCATTCAAGGGTTTAATCAGAGCAGGGCTTGGTCTTGGACCTGTATAGGAGCTTCTTTTTCTTAGAGCTCTGGTTATCAATGGTGAGCACAACCTTGCCGGGTTCGCCAACTTTGAAAGTGTCAGAGATAACCGGCTCATCAGTTGGTGAAACCTTCCTTGTCTTTGAAACAATTACAGTGTAGCTACTCTCTGAACTTGGCACAAATTCAGCTCCATAGCTCACATCCCACCCCAGAACTCGAAGTTCCCAAACCAGAATGCTCTTCTGCAAATTTTGCAAATTACATAATCAACATGTAATTCAAACACAATGCATCCTAGAAACAAATCGAGTTGTCACTAAACCCTAGCAGTCAATGCGAAAATAGAGTTTTTTATAAGCATACTAGGTCTAAGTTTGGTGAAACTACCTCATCAGCTGGGAATTCAATAATGTGTTTGGCAGCTGCCTTGATTATAATATCAGTGACAGCATCAGCAGTTGTAAATTCCTGCTCACCCTCCCGGCTCAGTCCACCATACTGAACTGGTACTTGTTCCGGAGCTATGTATCTGTTTGTCACCAAAAGTTCTTAGATGAGGCCAATCCCAACTCAAAAGACTGAATATAGCAATAAGAGGGAATGAAAGGAGAGTGGGAACCACAGACACAGTGATATAAATGATCAATATTCAATAACTGGAGTTATAAAGATTCATTAATAAAGTAGCAAGTAGCAACCATCAATGATCAAGCCATTTAACAGATTGGAAGGATTTGCACATACTTGAAAAGGGCATCTGAAGATTTGGATGGGCCTGCAAATACAAACTTGCTCTTCGTCCTCTGTGTGAAGAAAGGGCTAATCATCCTATTGAAGGCAAGGTACCACCATGGAACATTGATGAACACCTTTCAATAACAACAACAAATAAAGAAAGAATTGTTAAAAACATATACATAAAACCAACTACGCTTTATATGGACAAAATTAAGGGAGGATCATGTACCTGTTTAGCAACAAATTCAGGATAATTATCTTGAAGAAGTTGCAGAGCTTGGTTGGTAGCCAGCCTGAGCTCCCGCTTGAGTCCAGAAAAATTCTTAAGATCATTGACCTGAACAAGTGTACAGATTCCACTTGGACTGAAATCAAGTTTTCTAATGCTCTTCTCCAAAAGCTGAATCCTCCACCTCAAGAATTTGGTGCGTTTCTCATCATCAGCAAAAGTATTCTGATACAGCTCCTTGTTTTGGAATTCACCAAACACATTATAACACACAGGATGACCTTCCTTATCAAATCCATGCATAAAAACCACTTTATCCCACTCATTTCCAAGATCTTCTTCCAGCAGAGAATCGACACCGAACTCCTTTCGCCAGCGAACGGTGTTCTTGATCATAGTGAAAGCGTCCTTGACCTTAAAATCCCTGGCTCTCAGGAACTTCAAGAGGATTGTATCACTTTTTTCATCTCCCAGAAGTGGAATTCCCCAAATGAAAACCTCTTCGGGTTGAATAGGAATCGCCTCTTCTTCTTTAGGTTCTTCTGCGGGAGTCACCTCAGCTGGGGCCGCCTCTTCCGCGGTAGCTGGAGCCGAAACTGGAATTATCGTCTCCTTAATAGCCTCAACAGTCTTGGCACCATCTTCATCAACAACAGCCGTTACAGTTTCAACCACTTCAGCAACTACCACTGTCTCCGCCGCCTCAGCTGGTGGTGGTGCAGTCTTTTCCTCCTCTTTTGCTTCAACTTCAACAACAGCTGGAGCTGCCTCCGCTGTAACATATTCAACTATGATGTGAATACATGATTCAATACATGAATTAGTTGTAAGTGATAAAAAAATAAATATTTTATACCAGATGGTTCAGCCTCCGTTTTGGTGGATTCTTTCGGTTCAGTTTCTTCCTCGGGTTTTGCTTCTTCAGAAGCCTCTTTGATCTGGACTGGTTCAGGAGCCTTCTCTTCTTCTTTGGCGGGTGGAGGAGGAGGCGGAGCAGTGAACTCATGCTTGTTGAGAGCTTCTTGGATAAGTTGTTTCAACTCATCAAGAGCTTTCTTCTCAGGGTCGGGAAGCTCACCAACAACGTTGGACTCCTCCTTGAAAGAAGCGGATTGAGCAATCTTATCTTCGTCAACAGGCTTGGATGATTTCTCAGCTTCAATAGCCTCTTCGATGGCTTCTTCAGTGGTGGGCTTCTCAGTCTCAGGAGCCTCAGGCTCAGGTTCAGGAGCAGGAGGAAGTGGGTCCTTCTCAGTGATGGGTTTCGCCACAACAACTTGTTCAGTTGATGAAGGGGTTTCAGAAGCAGCTGCCGGCTTTTGTGTCTCCTCGGCCATAATCGAAGTTCAATAAAAGATGAAAAAGACAAAAGAGTTTGAACTGATTATTGAAAGAGAAGGAGAAGAAGAAAAAATGTTAAAAAAAAAAAAATTAGAATGGAAGAAAGGAAGAAAGGAGTTATTAAAATGAGGAGGAGGAGAGAGAGAGAGAGAGAGGTGGACAAGGAAAGAAACAGTCTGTCAGAACTAATTGCCAGCTAGACACCAGTTTGTCATTGGACCCCACACCACTTTTAAATCTCTACCCTTAATGTCACTTTCTCTTATTCAAATTTAAATTAAATATCTAATTTTTGTTTTATTTTTATTTGGTCAGTTTGAGGTTTGGAGAAAGTAAATGCACCCAAAATTACTTGCTTTACCAATAAAGACTATAATACCCTTTGTCTAATTATATTCTTTTTAACTTTTATTTTAACTATATATAAAGGATAGTATTATTGCCCCACTTTTTTTCTTATTAGATCCCAATTCTAAATTTACTTTATTATAATTTGTACAACTATATAAACCAACCTATTTACAAAATGTTGTAACTCTTTTATTTATATTTTCTCTTCTCACATATTACACATTTCAAATCTATATTTTATACTTATAGTAATATTACTCACCCAAATATTTATCACAAATTTCACATGTCAAATAATGTGTCAACATATAGGCTAGCCATGTTATCTAATACATTATAACTTTATTTGAGTGTCAATACTATATATGATAACATGTCATTTTAGATATAAAATTTAGGAAGTGTATTATTGTTTGTGCAAATTATTTGTCCATTATTTCTAGTCAATATCATTAAATGCATATTTTAATATTTTTACAACTATTGGAAAAAAAAAATTTGTATGAATTCATCTCATCTTTGATTTTGTTTTACAATAATGTTATAATTGTAAGCATGAGCTTATATTAAAAAAATATAATCATGTAACATGAATTGTAAAAATTTAAAACAAAATGATACAAAAATGTGAAGAAGACAATTAAGTATTCTTTATGTCTTTTTTGTAATATTTATAAAATGATAGATTTCTAATTAAGATAAAAAAAAAATATAGTTATTGTTGGGCATATATAAATTGAAGACATAAAAACAGAAAAAAAAATATAGAACTTTAAAACTTTGTTTGGAAGAGTTAAGTATCATTTATTTTATTATACTTTGCTCTCCTATTTTATTTTATTCATTTTCTAACTCTATGATTTTAATTAAAGTTAAGGTTTTTTTAATTTATATTTTTAGTTTATTGTATAAAATTAAATTATTATTTAACTATTCATATGTTTATTTTAATTATAATTTATTATATAAAATTGGTTAATAAATATTACTATTTATATAGTTATAGTATAAATTACAGAAATAAAAAATGAAAAGAATATATATACTTATATATATAATTAGATAAAGGGTATAATGGTAAAATACGTTACTATTCAAAGTTCCTGGGTGTGGTTGTACTTTGTTCAAACCCTGAGGCAATTGTTGTTGTAATTAGATTAGTTTGAGAGTTGTTCTGTTTTCGGTTGGTGTAAACCATGACGTGTCAATGTCAAATATCTTCAATCAACTACTCAAAAACTAACCCTTTCCAAATAGTGATAACGTTATTTCCGTTTAAACTTGGACGGTTCTTCTTGCTCCCTCTGTATCTTCCATCATGAGGTAACGTTAGCCTTAATAATAAGGGAATTATAATTTAAGTGGAGTAGGGATATATTGGGATTTTTCAATCAAAGGTTCATTATTATTACTTAACTAGGGTATTTANAAAAAAATGTAGTATACAGAAAATTATTTATCTTATTTCTTTCTAAGAATAAAATTAAAAATAACCAAATTGTTTTGATGACTAGAATAAAATAGAAAATAAATTGATTTGAGAGATCTTAGTTGAAAGATTTCCAAAAATTGGATATTTTTTATGTTCAGCCCTTAAAATGAATTATGAAATTTTTTTTAATTAATCATTAATGAAGGTAATTTGTTTCAGAATATAATGTAAAATCTATGTGTATTTGATAGTAATACAAGGGTGAATTAGTAATTTAATTTGAATCTTTATCATCATTATTTTCGTATTCAAATTTAAGTAACAATTGTTAACTTTTTTTTAATTCAGAAAAAACAAATAACCTAAACACCAAAATTGTTTTGACATAAATGATAAGTGGTGAAAACAAATACATTTAGTAATATATACCATTCCACTCAAACACGTTTGCTCAGAGAGTTGACTTATCAAACTAAAAGAAAAGAATGATTAATGGCCCCCTAGAAAGATTAAAATTATCTCCATGAAGCGATGTCAATTTCGAAGACAAGAAGGGGATGGGAATGAAAACTCATCCCTGAATTGATTTCGGGAAGGGGGATGAAAACACATACCCTAAGTAAAAAAAAAATACTTTTTTTTTTTTTTAATTAAATTCAAGGATTGGGTTCCTATTGGAATGCTTGATCCCCGCTTGGGGATCCTAGCCCCATCCTCGAATGGACAGGGATGGGGACGGGGATGTTTGCCACCCCTATCCATGATATTATCAAAACCCTTTGTAAAAGCATCATAAATCTGTATGATAGAAGTGTTATAGTTTTGATAACGATGCAGAATTTTAATATTTATCGATCCCACAAAAGGTTATATAAAGTAAGTCGTAAACATTTTCACACAAATTTTAACAATTCCTTCCAATTAATTCATCAGTTAAGATATAAAGTCATACACCTTCAGACTTAAAAAAAAAATATATAATATTAAGAAATTTGTATCAATGTTAAGAATAATATTTAAAAAGATATTATATTATGGCATTAAAATATCATAAGAGAGTTCAATGTGCGAAACAGTACCTTAAGAAGACAATTTAACGTCAAAAGTATTATCTTGAAGAAGCAAGAGTTTGACTTGAAAAATGATGAACTACCTAAATGATCTAAACAATAAAAGAAGAGTTAGATTTTGTATTGACTGAGATCCCCAAAAAATATTAATGATAAAGTTGTTTACAAAAAGTTAAAAAAAAAAAAATGTGCACTTGATACTTATATTCTACACATACTCGTCATTAAAAATTTTAAAATTTTGATTTTTAATGCAAAAATCCTAATAATTTTAATACCAAATCAATACAATAACACTTAATTATATAGTAATGCTTAATTGAATGTGCAATATTTAGTGGCGGAACCAAGATTTTGACTTAATAGAGGCTAAAGAGAATGAAATAGAAAAGAAAAGAAAAAAATGTTAGCTTACTTTCTGGAGTAAAGGGATGGCTTCAATAACTTCTTGGAATTTCACTAGATAGATATCGCCACAGAATTTTCAAACAAGCTACAAATGATAGACAAGAAACTAGCTAATCAAAATTATGAATAAAGAATCTCAATCGGTTATTGGGGTGTTAGCACAAGCAATTGTTTATCTATCTTACCTCATCCTTAATCTTTTAATTTGCCTCTTTCTTAGAATTGTAAATTAAAATATTTGAAAGTGGAAGAATTAACATATCTGGTTTAGCACAAACCAGAAGACAAATAGTAATAGAAGTAAATAACAAAGTTCATAAATCTTAAGAAAATCATACCTAAATGGAAGGTTGCAACCTAGAAAAAGGCACCTCACTTTGAGACTTGAAACTTTTGTTCCCTGCTATTAGCGTGAAGATGAGCGAACATACACATTAATGATACTTAGAGTCATTTTATGATGTATTCAACATACAATTCTTGGTAATAATGAAAGAATAATAAATTGTGTATTTATATGTTAATGTTACAATTAGGATAAAAAATGTATTTATATCTAGAAAATAGGATGAATATGCTATACATTTTGAAAACTCATCTCAACAGTAGATACTGATGTTTTTATACTTGCAAAATCCCTATCCCTTACAGGCTTGAGAATGTGAGTCACAATTCGCAAAGCCTAGCTTCATAACCAAGTAAAAACACACATTTTAGTCTGATAGATCAACGTTACAAATTCTTATCCTTTAATCAATTTGTACATTGGAATTGGTGCAACTAGAACATTGTAATTGTGGCATGTCCTTGATCTTTAATAGTTTTAATTTAATTTCTAGGGTGCACTTGAAGCAATTATTGGTTCAAAGGTGGGTTTTTTTAAGCAATCTTTTACAATTCTTCTTCAATTTTACATGAATGCTACATGTATTGGGATAAGATTTCTAATCACTGAGTGATATACAGCTGCTAAGCTCCATTAAAACAACATAATTAAAGAGAATGGAAAAGCATAAAAGTTAATTTTCTTACCTTATGTTCAAGCAGAATGCATCCAGTATGAAAGCTGCGGATGAGAACTCCAGTTCACTATCCCATACACGTATACAGTATCAAGTGAAATATACCTCACACACAATCAAAACTAACAACTCCCAACTGATTTACTTTTCCCTCACTTCAATTTTATTAGATTGCCTAATAAAAGAAATTACTGAAATTATTGAAATAAATCGAAAATCGATTAAACAGGAGGTTGATAAAGGTAAAATCAGAAAGATAAACATTAACAAAAGTAAGTGTTTTCAAGATGATGTTTAAAGATTATTAAGTAATTATATTGAAACATGAAAATTGTATCCACGAAATTCACCTGATCTTGTAACTTCAGATCTTTAGTGTAAAATCTCTTCACCTTCTTCTATAATCGAATATGTCCTCAATCAGTCTTGCAAGTAAATAACGTCAAATGAAATAACTAAAAGCAAAAAATAATCATGGACACATTTAAAGTAAATTATTATATCAAAGTTCAAAGATTATAAATGATCATACCAAATCAGTTGAGTGATCGATGTTTTTCCTGCAAATGAATCTCTATCACATTATATTCAAAATCAGTCCAACTTCAGGATAAAGAGTAAAGTTATAATAATAAAAAAAAAAAAGAAAAAAAAAAGCCATTTTAGTCCAGTCAGCTTGAGAAATACGCAATGAATGTTGGCCCTGTCTTTCTAAGTGGAATGACCCACCAAGTCTGTAAAGACTTCTGTATTAAACTATAAAGTCCGAATGACAGTGTTTCACCTTTTCTTTTGTTCAATATTTTTCTCACCCCTCGTTTCAGAACTTTTTACCATTTCGTCCGATAGTTTGAAAAATTAGCAAATTTTACCCTTTTTTTTTCTTCAAGTGTCCATCTATGATTAATCGACTTTGACCACTGAAATACTTATTTTATCCTCATTAAAAATTATCATATTAATTTAGGGTCAGACTATTGTAACACAAATTATTAACTTAAAATGAGACACAAATTAACCACCCTTCATCTAAATCTAATCTAAGGGTTCATATAAATTTGAGTAAAAAGAGTTTACATGTAACTTACACTCAATAATGTCACTACTCTTATAAATTGAATGCTATTTTGGTAAACAAAGAGAAACCCTCTGTCTCTTTCTTCAATCACTGTAACCCATACACGCAATAGCCATTAATCTACTTAAAGAAAATTTTAGTAATTTCTTCCAAAATTCTCATTAAACCTTCATATTCTATTGAATTGAATGAAGAAAAAAATCTTCTCTTGCAATATTACACCAATAAACTCAGTTTTCACGCATAACAAAAAACTTAATTAATTCTCAATTCCGTAATAGAAAATTCAAAGTTTGTGATGAATTCACGTTGTTTCTCTTTCAAAATACAAGATCAATACTATTTGAAATCTCTTTGAAAGATAAAGAGTTTTCTTAAAGTTGTGGGATCACCCAAAAATACAAAATTTAATTACAAGATTCAATTCACATGAGCCATTAGATTAGATTTATGAAGATTAATGAACATCTTGCAAGATCTGAAAAGTGATTCATTACCTCAACACCAACATAGACTTTCAGTTAACTATCCCTAGCTCACAAATATTAGTATCAAATATTGATCTCCGCTTGGGGATACTAGCCCCCTCCTCAAATTGTCTAATTTGGGGATGGGGATGAGGACGAGGATGGGGTTGGCGATCCCTACCCGACCCACCCTGTTTGCCACCCCTATCCATGATATTATCAAATCCCTTTATTAAAGTACCATAAATCTATATGATAGAAGTATGATAGTTTTGATAACCATGCAAAATTTTAATATTTGTCGATCCCACAAAAGGTTATATAAAGTAAGTCCTAAACATTTTCACACAAATTTTAACAATTCCTTCCAATTAGTTCATCAATTAAGATATAAAGTCACAAATTAACAATTTACGTAATCAACTAACATATACCTTCGGACTTAAAAAAATATATAACATTAAAAAATTTGTATCAATGTTAAGAATAACTTATGAGAAGATATTATATTATGGCATTAAACTATTATAAGAGTTCAATGTGTGAAGCCTACCTTGAGGAGACAATTTGACTTCAAAAGTATTATCTCGAAGAAGCAAGAGTTTGACTTGAAAAATAATGAACCACCTAAATGATCTAAACAATAAAAGAAGAGTTAGATTTTGTATTCACAGAGATGACCAAAAAAAATTAATGATAAAGTTGTTTTCACTTAAAAAAAAAAAAAAGATGCACTTGATACTTATATTCTATGCACACTTGTCATTAAAATTTTAAATTTTTTTATTTGTAATCCAAAAAGCCTAATAATTTTAATACCAAATCACTATAGACTATAATAACACTCAATTGAATGTGCAATACTGAGTGGCGGAACCAAGATTTTGACTTATAGGGGCTAAAGCAAATTTATACCTAAAGTGAATGTAAAAGAAAAGAAAAGAAAAAATGTTCCTTACTTTCTCAAGTAAAGAGATAGCTTCAATAACTTCTTGAAACTTCACTAGATAGATATCACCACAAAATTCTCAAACGAGCTGCAAATGATAGACAACAACCTAGCTAATCAAAGTTATGAATATAGAATCTCAATCGGCCATTGGGGTGTTAGTACATACAAGTGTTTATATATCTTATATCATCCTTAATCCTTAATCTTTTAATTTTCCTTTTCTTTCTTAGAAATTAAATTAAAACATTTGAAAGTGGAAGAACTAACATGTCTAGTTTAGCACAAACCATAAGACAAACAATAACAAAGTTCATAAATCTTAAAAAAATCATACCTAAATGGAAGGTTGCAACCTAGAAAAAAACACATCACTTTGAGACTTGAAACTTTTGTTACCTACTATTAGCATGAAGACGAGTGAACATACACATCAATGGCACGTAGAATCATTTAATGAAGTATTCACTATACAATTCTTGGTAATACTGAAAGAATAATGAATTGTGTATTTATATGTTAATGGTACAATTAGGATAAAAATTATATTTATATCTTGAAAATAGGATGAATATGCTATATATCTTGAAAACCCACCTTAGCAATAGATACCGATGTTTGTATATTTGCAAAATCCCTATCCCTTACAAGCTTGAGAATGCGAGGTCACAATTTGTAAAGCCTAGCTTCATAACCAAGTAAAAACCACACATTTTAGTCCAAGCTCCGATAGATCAACATTACAAATTCTTATCCTTTAATCAATTTGTACATTGGAATTGGTGCAACTAGAACATTGTAATTGTGGCCTGTCCTTGATCTTTAATAGTTACAATTTAATTTCTTAGGTGCACTTGCTTCAATTAGTGGTTCAGAGATGGGTTTTTTTAAGCAATCTTTACAAATCCACTTCAATTTTATATGAATGCTACACGTGTTGGGATAAGATTTCTAGTCACTGACTGATATACAACTGCTAAGCTCCATAAACAACATAACTAGAGGTAATGGAAAAGCATAATGCATCCAGTATGAAAGCTGCCGACGAGAACTCCACTTCACTATCCCTTACACACAATCAAAACTAGCAACGCCCAACTCATTTGCTTGTCTCTACCTTCAATTTTATTATATTGCCTAATAAACGAAATTACTGAAATTATTGAAATAAATCAAAAACCAATAAAATATGAGTTTGATAAAGGTATAATGAGAATAAATAAACATTAGCAAAAGTAAGTATTTTAATGAATAATCAATTTTGCACATGATGTTCAAAGATTATTAAGTAATCGTATTGAAACATGAAAATTAACTTCAGATCTTTAGATATTTACAAAATCTCTTCACCTTCTTCTGTAATCGAATATATCCTCAATCAGCCTTGCAAGTAACTAACAACAAATAAAACAGCTAAAAACAAGTCCTGGCTAAAAGTATAAGATAATCATGGACAAATAAAAGTAAATTATTATATCAAAGTTTAAAGATCATAACAAATCGGTTGATCGATCGATGGTTTTCCCAGAGTGAATTAAATTTATTATTTTTAGGTGCTTGGCACAACATGGGATTAAATGTAAAATTAATTATTTAAGAAATTAAGTTATTTTAATATTAAATCAATCCTATAATACAAATTTTGAAAATCTTAAAAAAGAAAATTAGAACTAGTTTTCCTACCATTTGAACTTACCTTCTTCTCTAAGGAAATATCCAGTACAATGAACAGTAATTTACTTGGGCTCAAAGACACTTGCAAAGCACTGCAAATGAACAATAACAGAGAATAATAAGATCAAAACATCACGAAAAGAATCAAGATCATCCAATTTAATGTTACTGAAAACAAACAAGTCTCACTTTCTGTCTTTTCTGGGAAAAGCTAAAATCAGACGATAAACATGAGAATATGTAAATTGATATAAAGTTCACAGATCATAAATTAATCATACCGGATGGATGGGAAATGCAACTGAAATTGTATCTTTGATTCTTCCAATTTCTCTGTCTCATACATACAAGTTTTGGCTTTTGCAAGTGGAAATTAATTAAGATTAATGAGACAGGAAAACGCGTTGGGTTAGGTATAAGATGGAAGAAGCAAGCAAATAATCCAATACTTATTTAGCATGAATTAATTAAGTGGGTGTTATTTTTCTACGCCACTGACATGGAAATGAACCCATTTTTATTTTCAAAATTTCTCATGAAAAGAATCATGGATAAGACTAAACCCAAATTGGAGTAATGGTGGTTAATAGAATTGAATATAATGATTATTTAAAAGGGCGGGAGACACGTGAAAGAGAAAAGGCATCAAATAAGATTCCTTTCAACCATTTGTGTTCACATGCTTTAAGCTGTAAAGATTCCATCCCAAACCTTTTCACACCTCAAAACCCGAGCCCTTATTTTTTTATTTAAATTTTAAGGCTTGGCTTAGAGAAAAAATGATCGACTTATGGCTTGGTTGGGTTTGGGTGCACCGGACACCTGCCTTGACTCAT